TATATATATATATATGCTTCTACTTTCAACAAGGTGGCATAAGGATGAACCAAATCAGCCCCCTTATGAAACAACAAAACTAAACGCAGTCTACTGAAAAAATACCCTGGTATTATATAATTAAAAAAAAAAGAAGGAACAAAATAGGTGGACACTAAGTAAAATATGTCTCAGATCCAGCCCAGGAAAGTTTATTGAACTCACAACAGAAAAGGACATTTTCCAGGTAAAGGGGATTTACCTGAACTGAAGAGATGGAATTGTGTGGTTAGAAAGCCCAAGGCAGCTAGATTTCATTGAGCAAACTATCAGAGGGAACAAATAGAGTTGGTGTCTAGACTGTTCCTCAAAGGCCTGTATTTATGAAGGGGACATTGAGGCCTCCCTCAGCCTCTTGTGTCCTTTCTCTCCTCTTCCTGGCACCATGAGCTAAGTGGCTTTACTCAATAACTCTCCCCACCAACATGATCTGCCTTGCTCTAGGCCCAAAGTGATGGAATCAAAAGGCAGTGGACTGAAACCCTGAGTGAAAGGGAACCCCCCCCCTCATTGTAAGTGGTTTATCTCAAGTTTGTTGTTGTTGTTGTTGTTGTTGTTGTTGTTGTTGTTATAGTGATAGATTACTGACTAACAGAACTTACCTTCTCAGTGAGAGATCTGTGGAGATGGACAAAGGACTTCTCTTGGATAGGTTAATGAATATGGCTGTTCCATGGTCTCCACAGTGAATTGGTTCCAGGAAACCCCACAAACACGAACATCTGAGGACACTTAAGTCCAGTATGTAAAATGGCGTAGTTCACATGGGTGCAGCCTACACACACACTCTGATGACTTCGTTCATTACTTCATTCATTAGGCTACTTATACACATCACAGCGCAAATGCTGTGTGAATCATGGCCATGTTGAGTTGTTTAGAGAGTAATGAGAGGGGAACAACGGTCACTACAAAATTGAGTATAAACACAGCTTTTTAAGAATATGCTCCACACAAGGATGAGTAAATAAATCGGCAGACATGGAACCGAAGGCTACAGAGGCCACCTGTGCTGATTAGCACCTGTCTGTGAGAAAACTGCCCGAGACAGGAGAAACTAATGGGAACTGCTAACACCACTATCTCACTCAGTAAAAATCACTTTGAAGTCTGGCCCCCAAGAACTTTAGATAACACATTTTCATTTTTACTGTTTTAGTTTACTGTTTACTGTACTGGTGTAAGTCACAGTGCTGCTGGGGGTGCTGGTGCTGATGCTGGTACTGATGTGGCCAGAGGTGGTCCTGTTGGTGCTAGTGATGCTGGTGCTGATGTTGCTGAAGGTGGTCCTGTTGGTCCTGTTGGTGCTCATGTTGCTGGTGGTGTTTCTGGAGGTGGTCCTGATGTTGCTGGTGGTACTGGAGGTGGTGGTGTTGCTGGGGTGGTGGTCCTGGTGGTGCTGGTGCCCGTGGTTCGGGGTTTGAGTTTTTGAGGAAATGTCTCACTAATTCCAGTCAGAGCTCAAGCTCACTACAGTCTGGGCTGAACTTAGAGCATAGTCCAGGCTGGCCCAGAACTAGCTGTCCTCCTTTAGGCCGCTCACCACTGCCAGACTATAGACACATGCTGCCACACCTAATGTGTTTTCATGGCTTGAAGCTGCTAATTTTGTGTTAATCTGTAACAAGCCATAGCATAAAACTAATACCTGGGAAGGACATTTCCAACTTATTCCACGGGGCCAGCACTATCTTAATACCCCACCCAAACAGACCATAATGTTACAGTAAAGAAACCCACAAAACCATTACCAAATTAGCAAGCCTACTCTAACAATATAGAGAAAGGACAAGCCATCACGACTAAGTGCAATTTATCCAAGGAAAGCTATCATGTGTTCAAACCCAAATGCTTTCCTGTGTCCCAAATTCCTCTAATGGGTTTGACATCCAGCAACCATAATGTGTCACCCTTTATCTTTCCCCATTCTGTCCTTAACTCAGGCTTCACCCACAGTAGCTATCTTTTTGTTTCCTAACTTGCAAGCACCTCCACATGTCTTAACAAGCTCAGGCTCTGCCACAGCTGTCTTCTCCCACCCTCTCCTGAAGACCATCTCTTACTGATCCTGGAGCAGATGGCCCTGGGGTTCTCCCTCAGGCCCCTCCTCTCCACCTCCCCTACCTTTCCACCACACTCTGTTAGGGCTTCTACACCAAGACACCACTTTCTATTAACTATTGTTTCTTTTTTAGACTATGAATTCCAACGAGATGAATGTGTTATTCAAGGCATCTTTGAGTCTAAATGCCTAGCACAGTGCCTGGCATATAGTAGACTCTTCATATGTATCTATTGATTTGTATCTATTGAATAGGTGGTACTTCCTAGAGATAAAATCCAGTGTTCTGGGGCCCAGAGAGGGCTAATTAAAAATAAACACTCCTCCATGGAGACTGGAAGGGTTCCAAAAACAAATATACCACCTTTCTACTCAAAATACACCCCACAATTTGCCTGTGTTCATAGGCACGCCATGGCAAAGTATTTATAATATGTCAGACTGTCTGGGACACTAAGGAGTGTGTACAGTTAAGCCCATTTCTCTGGTGAGAAAACTGAGACCCAGGAAAGAAGAAACATATGCCTAAGAATCTGGTGTGGGATGAAGCAGAGCAGCTGGACCCATCTCCAGCTGGCTCATTCACTGGTCCCCCACTCTGTCTGATCCTTCTGGCAGGTGCTGCAGCTCCATGCCTACCTATAGAGAGCAGAAATTAAAAGGGCTTTTGCACTTGCCTTGGGCTCTGTACAATCCATCTCTATTTCTGTTCTCTGCCCTCTGCGTGACTTTCGCAACAATTGAATTGCAGTAAGTCCTCTCGGCCCACAACAACCCCAGTTAACACTTTGGTCCCTAGACTTTCTGGGCATTGCTTTTACTTCCAGGCAAGCAAGCTACCTCTTATTCTCCTCCTTAAATGCTAATTTAAAAAACGAAAATGAGTATTTGAGTTGAAAATTGATTAGGTACAACTAAACGGGCCAACATCCCACTGAGTCTTTCCTGTTTCAAATCCTAGCCACTATCTCATCTCTAGACACAACCCGCCAGCTCTACCACAGTCATGTGTTCCATTTCAGTGATGGTAGGGAGTCATCAATCCTGTCTTGTGTTCCTGAGTGGTCCCTCTGTTCTTGTTTGTTGTGTATCTTACTGTACCAGTTTCCCTCATCCACCCTTTATTCTTTAACATTTCTGGTTTTCTTTTTCTTTTTCTCTTTACCCAACTGCCTCATTGCTTCCATGTTCCTTTTTTGCTTCTATTTCTCACCATGAGAACTGTCTTCAGGTTCTGTTATTCAGGCTCCATCACTCTTTGTCGTCTAGAAAATTATCTGAATTTCCTGCCACTGATTATTCATTTGTTCATTTGTTTGATGTCATATTTTAATTTCTTCCTTTACAGCCATCACTTTAGACCTCTGCCAAATTCCTCAGATTTGCATTTTTCAGACTGGTACTACAGCATCTTCAGAAGAAATGCTTACCTGGTGGGTGGTCCTTGATCTCCAACAACCATGAAGAACAAAGGAACACCTTTGTATATTACAGTGCAAATCAGAAATTTAGTCCTGTTTTAGTCAGGGTTTCCTAAGGGGACAGAAGTGATATAATATAAAACATATCTGAGGAATTGATTAGATTGGCTTACAAGATATGGTCTGGGTAGCCCAACACTGGCTCTCTCAGTCTGGAATGACAAGGAATCAACTGCTCAGTCTATGAGAAGTCCTAATCTGGCATAAAGGCCTAGAATGTTCTTGGAGAGCCTCTAGCTTCAGTTTATTGTAGCAGCCCCCAAAAATTGGTTCTAGTATCGGTAAACAACGAATTCCACAGCAATGGGACAGATGAATTTTCCAGTGAGACTGAGGGTCAGTAGGCAGAAAGCAAAGAGCAAAGCTTCCTTTATTCATGCTTTTCTATCTAGAAAGGAATTAGAAGGAAGACTCACATTTAGGGCAGCCTTCCTGCTTCAGATAACCTGGTCAGGAAAATCCCTCTCAGGAGTGCCTGGCAGCACTCAGATGGGTCCAGGTGACAACCAGGATTAACCATCACTGGCATCAAAGTCTGGAGACACAGCAATGCATTAAGTCCCTTAAAACGGTATGATGTATGGCACTTATAAAGCCTTCCACGCATGTCATGTATATAAAGAAGCCACATAAAGAAATTATCCCAAGGCAGTTGCCAGCAGTAACGAAGGTACTTACTCCAAGAGAATTCTGCTTTTGTGCTGTGTTTTGTACTTCCCCATTTTGTGTGTCTTCCTTCTTGAGGGACAATTGGGTTGGTTCAAGTGCCCAGCGCAAGCCCTCAGAAAACCCATTCATTCCCCTTTGCAAGATTTCTGCTGCTGTTAGGAAACTTCAGTTCTCCAGTCTTCTCTGAATGTGTCTTCATATCACTTCTCAACACTTGAACTCTACTGTCAGTCATAATTGTTCCTTCCTCCATCTTTAGCCTAGAATTGAAATCGATTCAGACATGAACTCAATCTCACTCTTTAAGCCAAAGGGCAGGAGGAAGATAAAGAGAGGTGGGGAAACACTTTTTAGTGTAAGGAAGATTGCTTCAAATTTGGAGAAACAGAGTAGCTCGTGTGTGTGTGTGTGTGTGTGTGTGTGTGTGTGTGTGTGTGTTTGTAAACAAACCTCTAAAAACTGAGCCTCAGGACTTCCCTGCAAGGGGTGGGTTTCCCTATCCATTTTGGGAGAAGCTATGTTTGGATCTTAACTGTCCCTCCAAAGGTCAAAACCTTGAGTCCCTGATTTGTTCCAAGATACACCCCTGCTGTGGCATGCTGCTGTGTCACAAGCCAAAAGCAACAAACTAACCAACCCTGAGTTGAAGTAAGCCTCTTCTTTCTGTAAATTGATGTCGCCAGGTATTTGCTATAGCACCAGAGGGCTGACTAACACAGAGTCCCCATCCATTCTCTGACCTCTCCTTTGTCTTCTCCTTGCTCTGTTCACTTTCCATTCTCTAAATTTGTGTCTATTTCTCCAGCTTAAAGAAACTAAAAGAAATAAAACTGGGTCTTAAATTCTTTGCAATAGCCATCACTGAATGAGGGTAGGTTACCGGTGAGAAAGAAAGCGTTGGGACCCTTAGCAGGTTACCAGGTCGCTATCAAGGCATTTCCCATGACAAAGGCAGGGGGAAATTCAGAGGCAACCACGAAGATAGCTATTTTTAATTATGAATACAAACAGGGAAACTGAGGCTTCCAAAGGAGTTCATGTCACTGCTGACTCTTTGTTAATTGGATACACAAAACCTCTGAGACACAATTTTCCATTACTGATCCCAGTGCTGGGGCTACGGTCCTATTTTAAGACACAATCAATTGTGTTTCGAACATTTTAGGGAAACAGCATGGATTTCTCCATCCAGCTCCACAGGAGGCCTGTGAAATAGAATTGCGATGTGTGACCTGCTCCGGGTTTGTCTCGTGTCAGTACAGGATTCTGAGCGTTGTCCTCACTTTCCTCTGGAAGTGTGAACACTAATGATATGTTGCCTCCACTGTGGATGATACTTATTGAACTGATTCAGAAAAAAATTAGTTTCTATTCCAGCAAATGCAATACTTAATTTAAAGAGAATCACAGGTTTTCTCTTTCTCTGCTGTATTATTTTTTTCCCTATACTACTTTATCATAATGTGATTTGGGTTTTCTCTCTGTTCATAAATCAATAGTTTGCAGCAGTAATAAAATGTAATTGCACACATCTGTGGTAAAGGGTCACAAAGGTTGCTGCCTTTATGTTGTATTTACTTAGCCTAGACTGAGGTCCACATTGGATTTTTTTTTCCCTGACAGAGTCTCATGTTATAGCCTAATCTGTCCTTAAATTTACAACAATCCTCTTGTGCTGTTGTCCCAAGAGCTGGAATTACAGGTGTGAGCCATCACACTCAGTGTTGCATTTTCTAAGAAAACAAGGCCAAGGGTTCCTATGGATCACCTCACCAGTGCCTCCTCTCTATGTGTGGTGTCCCCCAACACTTGTCCTGGGCACAATTTGGGTAGGACAGCCAAGGAGTGTGGGACCTGGGACTCACAAATGAAAACAAATGGACTGTATATGCCAAGTCTGAGGGTAGGGAGAAGGATCCTATGACCAAGGGGAAGTTCAGAGATCTTTTATCCATCAGATGGTGGGAAGAATGTCAAAAGAGAGATGGGGTCACATCTCTAGAAGGTGTAGGATGCTAAGTGGATTGTCAAAGCAAGGTCCCAACTCATTCAATTGTTTAAGAAGTATTTGTGAATGGTTACTATGTGTCCATCATTGTTTTGAAGGTTACGGAAGCAATAGAAAATAAAAAATAGCTCCTACCATTACAGAGCTTCTAAGCTTGCAAGAAAGACAAGCCATAATTAAATAATCAAACCAATGATTAACTGCTCATAGGATGCTGAGGTGAGGAAGAGGCGTAGGAACACCAGGAGCTCACAACAGTGATTCCCAGCTGGGTCTGGGAAATTGAAACGGGAGTGGCATTGGTGGGTTGAGCTATGAGGTTGAGTTAGCTAAGTGAAAGGCCGAGGCTGCATGTCAGCGATTGCAAAGGACACCAAGGAAGAGTGATCCATCAGAAAAGGGAGCCTTTCCAAAGGCCTAGAGAAGGGACAAGGTTTGACTCAGGCAATGACATGGAAGAAGGAAAACGTCCAGATAGAGTAGATGTGACAGAGAATGGTGCCTGGGGAGGCAGAAAGGCAGCAGGAGCCACATCGTGAAGAATCTCATCCTAGTCATGGCGCTCCCGGGTCCCTGGAGCAGCGGGAAATCGTCGAAATGTATTTGTGCATTATTTTTCAAAATACATGATGTAATCTTATTGGACGTTTTCAAAAATCCTTGTCAGTTACAGCATAAAAAAAATAGTTTGGAGGGGACTGGAGATGGCTCAGTTGGTAAAGGGCCTGCTGTGCAATCATGAGCCCTTCAGATCCCCAGGGCCCATGGAAAAAGCTGGGCATATCAGTACATATCGCTAATCTCAGCACTACAGAGACAGGGACACATTCCCTGAGCTTGCTATCCAGCAAGTCTGGCCACCTCAGTGAGTTGTGGGTTCAGTAAGAGATCCTGCGAGAGAAATTGTTACCCACACGTACACAGTATATGCACATGCACACTCATGTACATACAGGCACACGCACACTTGCACACACTCGTAATAGTTTGGAGCACTGGAGAAAGAGAAATTTGGGAAAACCAACTAAGTGGCTCAGAAGAGTCAAGAAAGAAGCCTGCTCCTAGACGTAAGGGTGAGAGGTGGGGATGGAGACTGTGGCCAGGACCAGAGATTCAAATGAACACTGGGTCTTTCAGGTTCTAGGTCAGGTTAAGCCTGAAATTGAGGTTGCCCTGGCATGCTAAGCCTCAGAGGAGTGTGTGGCCTCCTATCTCCTCTGCTAATGAGGAGCAGATACAGAGGTGTCATTGCCAAGCACTGAGCTGGAAAATCCCAAAGCTAGATCTCACTACCTGATCTATGAAGAGCCATCCATTGATGCACACTCCGTCCACAGTTAGTTTGGCTGAAAAGCCTAATGGTGCAGGAAGAAGGGTGGAATAACAAGGGTGGGGAATGTGAATACCCCAGGGGAATTTAAAGAAGGCAGCTACCTTCTACTGACGTTGTCTACAAACCGGGGTCTATTTGCAGTGGTAATCCCACCAGGGTCGCATCTGTGTAAACAGTTTGTAGTTTACCCCTTGAAGTTTGGGAAAGAAAAAAACAAAATGAAGGGGCTGTTGTTGTGAGGCCTCTTCTCTGACATTCTACAGGCAGGGTTTGGGGGTTTTCCACGTGCCCCCACCTCACATCGCCCAACACACTCAGTCAAGCAATCTTCACCTGGGGCAGGATGGGAACAGGAAGTCAAAGGACAAGGTTTACCCAAAATGGAGAAAAGGGCTCTTGCAGTAAAGGTGGGCTGTCTGCTGGAGCTGAAAGCTAGCGTGGGTGGGAAGCAAAGAGACAGAAGGCTAGAGAGGCAGGTTGGGTTCTCAATGCCCTATGAGCGGATCCCAGTCAACCTGTGACTGTCTGTCCCTGACAGAAGTCTGACGTGCTAGAAAAGCAAGGGGAAAAGGAGAAGGATGAATCTAGGTTGGTTTAGAGGTTCCTAATGAGGAGACACTGGGAACTTCAGCCAGAAACAGTTGTCAGAGGAGACGTTGGCTGGCTGGAAGAGAATATCAATTCATTGATACAGCAGGAATGTCAGAACTCTCAAAGAAACACATGGTGGGTGGATTGGAACACTTGCCTTGAATTGAGAAGAAACATCTGGCTGGAGGGACAAGCACAGAAGACACCTGTGACAAAAACAGTCAAATCCAGTATCTCAAGTGACAGCCCTGAGAGACTCTGGGGAGAAGCCCTAAGGAAATGGTCAGAATCTGGAGGAAACCAACAGAGGGTGAGAGACTGGGCTTAGAGGAAGGAAATAATGTTGCTGGACTGATAAGAACCAAGAAAGAGGTTTCAAGTGTGTCATAAACAGGACCTTTGGCAGCACAGGGAGAAGCCAGAGCACGTCTCCACGAGCTTTACAGAGACTAGTATAACACGTAGCTGTCAGGCTATCTGAGCCGCCTTGTCTGTATTCCGGGCTAAGTGACTTAGTAAAGCCAGAGTCTGTGCTTGTGGCACAGTCCATGCTGAGATTCTTACCCTGCCTGGAAGAAAATTTGGTCACTCTGGCCCTAAAGTCATAGCCCACAAAATAATAAACCTAAATGGAACTGTGCGCTTCTGTACGCTTGGAACTTGAGGCCTCTTGCTTGTCTTCAGGCCATCTCAGCCAGATTGGAATCCACCTCTATTTATAACCGTTTCAGAGGCAATTCCTCAATTTTTGGTAGTCTGCTCTTTGGTATCTGGAAAATCCTGCTAAGATCCATGAGAAGATAGGCCTTTGTGACCCATAATTTCTAAAAGGCATGCTTGACAATGAGTAATGACTCAATCGATAGTAAAAATAAAGTCAGAGATCTCACTCTTGTGAAAAGTAAGACCACAGGGGCACGGCAGCTGAAGAACCCAGGCTGGAATCCCTCAGAACATGCTGGAGGGCCCCATCGAGGGAACTGAGGGCCTCTGTCCTACCCAGTAACATCAAATGCTTGGAGAACAAAGGAGCATTTGTGTGCTACAGCCAGAGAATAAGCTCCAATGGAGTTACACATAAGGAATGGTTGTTGTCAAGCTCTTGTCATTGGAGTTTTCCCAATTTTTGGGTACCCAGAACTGGTAATCTTTCAGACAATGTACAGTGCTTGAAGATAAAGGGTATCAAATAATGTCAGGCAAACATACTGGAAACCCATTGAGAAAGAATCAGGATCCAAATGCATCCTTACTGTAGGTAATAGGACAATTTGAAGGGTTTGTCAGGGAGGCATGGGAAATAAGGTTTCATCATATTTCCAAGAATAGATTTATTTTGCAAACACTTGTTGAATACTAGATACTGAACCGAGTGACAGAGTATGGTGGCTCGCTCTCCTGAAGATGCAACAGCCTACTTCAGATCGTTGTGAGCAAACACTGTGAACAGTGTGGTGGCAACTAGCAAAGGCAGGTGTGTGGTGCTGCACGAGGTAAAGGAGACTCATATGAAAAGGTGGAAGGAGAAACCTAAGAGGGCCTAGGTGTAACTCTGGAGCAGGGCACTTGTCTAGAATTCGGCAGTCCTAGGGTAGACCCCCAACACCAGAAAAAGGGGAGAGAGAAACGGAGAAGAGCCTCACAGAGATGTTGAACTTGGGAGCCCTTCATCTGCACTCCAAGAGCAGGCGCACTGGCATTTGACAACCAGCATCTGGGAAGGCTAACAGTCCCCAATGAATGACCTGAAAGGTCCACATCATGAAGCAGTTTGCTGAGACGAAAATTCGAATGAGCTTCCTGGAGGCTAGAGAGTCCTTGCCAGCCCGTATCCAGTGTGTGGACCACATTCAACACCTGGCGTTTGTGTCCCCATATAGTGTAGCTCTACTCTTCTATTGACATTTACACAGTAAGTCTCACACTGATTCATTTTTTTTGTACTCAAGTAATGATGGAATTGATAAGGTAATGTGCAATGTAATGAAATAAGTTTATTTTTAATGGCAAGTCTTATTTAAATACCTTTAGAAATTATCATAATCCCATATTTGTAGAATCATTAATATTCTGAAAGGACTCCTTACATTTTATGGCTACAGCTTACTGCATTTTATGGTTGAAATTATGCCATGATGGCATTCATGATTCTGGAGACTCACCAAGGTCATGTGTGAATGCTTCAAGAGAGCCATGGATCAAAGTCTGTAGATGATATATTTTATTGACACTCTGCTAGATACAACAAAGTCTTACGTTGAATTTTGAAAATAAAAATATTCTCCCTTACAAAATTTTTCTACAAATTGAAGACAGCTAACTCGCCCTTCGCATTTAAGTCAGCTTGGCTTGTACTTCCAGAAGACAATGGAGATATTTATACACACAACCACAGACTGACAAATTATTCAAATGAGGAAGATAACCTGATTCTCCAGCTGCACGTTTTTTTTTTTCAGTCTATTTCCTAGAAGATAATAACCACTAAAACTCAAACTCTGCCCCTCTCCCCCAAACAGGCTCTTGAGGACCTCCAGCTTAACACGATCTCACTCATAACCCCAACATACTCCTACTTTTGGTCTTCTGATCACACGGGTTCTACCACCAAAGCTAGAAAACCCAATAGGTGGCCCAGACCTTCCTCTGACACTAATCAACCACTGAGTAAATCAAATTTAACTCTTAGTGAGTCTCAGACACAGCCAGGCCTCTGGAGCCCCATAGCTCTACCCTAGTTCAAGGCCTACTCATCTGTCACCACAGATCCTGAAGTCTTGCCTATTTCTAGTCTCCATGTTTATAGAGTCATCACCACCCCACCCCAAATCGTGAACTTGCTTTCATCAGCTTCCTCTGAAGATCAACTACTGTATCAACTACTGGTTTGGGGTCAGAGATTTGAAGCCCACTGTCCACACATAACATTGAAAAACACTTTGACCACCAGCAGTTTTTCTCCCAGTGTAACCCAGTTCTCTCTCATCTCTGTGCATCTTGCTTTTGACACACTCCTCTCCTCACCCTCACACTATTCTCTTCTTGGCCGGCCTCCATAAGTCCTTCGGGATCTAATTCAATGTCTTTGTTTAGGTAGAGCCATCTATAAATCTGTCTGGCTTCCCATGGCTCTGGGTAAATGTTCCTATTAAAGTGGTATCACAGATGACTGTAACAACTTGTAGCCAGATTTACCTTGTCAAGTGGATCATGAGCTTTTGTTCAACTCTGAATCTCCAGTACCCAGAACAATACTTGGCTCCTGCCAAGCCACCAGGAAGCATTTGCTGAATAAAAGGACCTGCAATTGAGGTCTGCAGCTACATCACAAAATGATCCATATCAGCAAAGAAGAAAATTACTTTTCTGATAACTCTAAAGTGAACCGGTGTCAGAAAAAGTAAGACAAGGATGAAGGCTGTTTTTAGATATCCAGCAATTTTTTAAATTCCTCATCACATCTGTCCTAACTAAAGACTAACCCCAGCGGGCTCCTGTGGCCTGTTAAAAGAGTTCACTTGAGTACCAGACCCAGCAAATGCTCAATAATCCAGGAGAGAGAGAGAGAGAGAGAGCTAAAAGAGGCCACTGGCTCTAAATGACATGAGAAGATGCACCGTAAAAAAATTATCTGCTAAATATTCTTCCTCTTTGACACTGAGATCACAGTAACACACACATGGCAGATACACTGAATGTTATGTACTGCACATCTATGGGGGCAGTTTCCATCAGCAGAACTGTAGATAAGCTGCTCTTCCATCTTCCGACACAACTGTTGGGAAGCGACTATGTGCTGGTCACTATGCAACTTCCAGAGAGGCAAAGACAAGAAAGGACCTCTGAAATTCCCAGATTTCTGTGGCGTGGAAGGTTTACCACAAATTGGGGTTTGACTTTGTATGACCAAGTAGTTATTCTTTAATCCTCCCCTGTTCCATAACGCCCTGAACTTTCCCTTGTACATAGCAGGCCTTAGGTAACGTGGGGAAGGTAGCTAAGCATTCTAATCTAGCTAAATGATCAATGATCATGCTAAGCCCAACCTGTCTCAGGATGCGAGACATTGAAAAGGCAGTGTTTCCCAAGGAGCTTCAATGCCCCGGTGTGTGTTGTACTGATGAAAGAGTATATTCGGGGGGTGTGGAGGGGTTGGATGAAAGCAGGCCACGAGTAAGCTGAGCTTGTGCTTGGACTCTCACTGGCATTCTGGTGATTCTGTGTCAGCCTCCAGCGGGATTTCTCAGGTACCCACTCTCAATACAGTGGTGCAAAGAAAAGCTTCTGGTAGACTCTAGTAACTAGAGGAAAAGGCAGGGGAAAAGGTAAATCCATTCAGTGCCACTGCTGGAACCCACACTTCAGCCTCCCTCCGGATAGGATACCAGAGGAGGTCACGCCAACTCTAAGAAACTCTCTCACAAATAAATGTCAGATAGAGCTGGCTATTCAGCCCCACGGCTGCCTCCAGGAGTCCCTAACCCGCTGTGGTTCCCACCGGTCTCTGAGCAGCGCCGCGCCCTCTCGGCCCCACCCAACACAGAGGGTCCGGTGTCTGCCCCCCACCA